GGAATTTCACCTAGCTAGGAAAAGTTCGAGTCGTTTTTGTGTCTTGAATTATGAACCAATTTTTATTATGGTTATTTAATAAAGAATAAATTTTTCCGCTGCAAAAGTATTTTTGTATAAGCCTTGCGTTAAACGCGACGGTAATACGCCCAAGTCTATCTCTACGGTATTTATACATATTTTTCTACAATCTACGTAGAGGGAGATTTGGGGGTGTTACAAAGTGGTATCAGAGCCAGGTTTTTAATTTTATAAAAATAATTAATAAAGATCAGATTTTTAATGTATAAAAATCCGAAAATATGCTTCCTTAGTTTAGGAATTAATTTTGTTTTATGAAAATACTTTTACTTAGAGTGAAATCAGATTTTTAATTGTAAAAATACGAAAATGATATTTATTTAGTTTTAGGAAATTAATTTCATTTCATGAAAATAATTAGTTTAGCAAGATATTAAGTAAAATTGGATTTTATTGGGAAAATCAGAAAATATATTTACAAAAATCAGATTTTTTAAATTCGAAAATGCCTCTAATTTTATTAATTAATATAGTTTTGTTTTACTATTTATTTAATCAAAATACTATTTATAAAATTTTTAGTTTATCCATTTAATTAAAATAAATGATTTAGGCGCCAAAATTCAAATATCATTTTGGCTCCAAAACTGAAATACTCTTAAGTTAGAAAATACGTCGAAAATACGAGACTAAATACTCTTTAATTTAGAAAATGCCTTTCAAAAATACGGGGTATTACACAGAGCAATTAAAAAAATTGATTACAGAGATCGTTTTCGGGAGATTTTCAACAATTTTCATGTCTTATTAATCCGAATTTCGACATGATTCTGATGCAAGATTTGTCAATGAAATTACTAAAGAGAATGATGGAATTGATAATAACGATGATGGAGAAGAATCTGAAGTCTTCGTGAACGGCGATGAAGGTAATGCTGCTGATTATTTGTGATTTTTATATTTTGATTGTTTGATTTTATTTTTATTTTACATTCTATTTTGATAAATTATAATTAATTGAAGATTAATTTTCTATTTATTTGTGGTTTTTATATTTTAATTGTTTGATTTATGTCTAATGTTGACGATGAACTTCGTATTGATTTATTGTTATGCTTGTTGTAATTTTAATTTGCACTGAAATTAATGTATATATTGTATGTACTATATGTTCTTTTGTTAACGTCGTATGTTCATTTAATTAAAACTAATGTTCTTTATTGTTTTATATTAATCTTATGATTTTTTACATATCATGTTCTTTCTATTTCAGATCATGTTCTTTTTATTTGATCGTATGTCCTTTTTGATATTGTGCTAAAGTATACTGATACAATTGCAGAGTTTGAACATTATTGGTCAAGGTATTATTATATTTCTATATCATGTTCTTTTTTATTTTTAATAAATTGATGTTCTTTTACGTTTTACATTATGTTCTTTTTTTAATGTACTAGTGTTCTCTTAATTTCTAAATTTGTTTCTTTTTAATGAATTGAATGTTTATATAATTTTGAACTAATGTTCTTTCTATAAATATGTAAAACTCTTTTTTTTTTTTTTTAATATTTCATTTATTTTAACAATTGTTTTAATTTATAATTTCTTTTTTTTTGTATGTTCTTTTTATTGACATTATGTACTTTTTCATTTTCATGCTGGACAAATTTCAATGCCAAGACAAAAAATGGATTATGAATCTGTATAATATTAGAGAGATGTGGTGCCCTGCGTATTCTAACGACTACTTTAGTGGAGGTATTTTGTCTTCTCAAAGGAGTGAAACAACAAACAAGTACGTTTCATGTAGGCTTCATATTACTCATGGTCTTTGTGATTTTTATCACTCTTTCATTGATGTTGTTGATGAGTGGAGGGGTAAAGAAGACATCATGACTATAATAGTATCACTGGTAATCGTCATTTAGTTTGGGCAGCTATTGGGTTATTGGAGCATGCAAGAAAGATTTACACTATTGCATTGTACCTAATGTTCTTTTATAAATTCTTGATGTTCATTTTAGTTACATCAATGTTCTTTTAATTACTTAATGTTCTTTTACTCTATGTCTGATGTTCTTTTAATTCCTATTTTGTTTTTAAGAAGCATTGACTGTACTTTTGGGGAATATTATTGCACATTCGACATGGTGGTTCAATAGAGTATTTCGAGCCTGATGATTATTTTGGAGTAAATGTCACCCCTTTTTAAATTTTTTCATTGAATTTAATTTTTTCTAAACTTGGATTACTATAAGTGTAATAGATTTTTTGGAATTTATATCATTACATTGAATACTTGATAGCTTTTTTTTATTTTTTTTTATTTCAATAACATAAATTTAATAACAAAACTAAATTACATCTATATATATGTTGAAAGGTCATATTATTCAAAATCTACATATCTTCCAAACTAATAAGTACATGTTTGTTCAAAATAAAAAGTACAAGTTACATTTTCAAAATAAAACATTAGCATTGTCTAAAAATTGTTCAAAACTTGTAATCAAACCATACTTCAGCATTGTCATTCACTTCAAATATGTTCTTGTTTACTGCACTTGTAAGGATTTCATTGCTATAATATATCCTTAGCTTCTTCAGAGTATCAAACTATAAAGCAAAAATGAAAATCACATCACCAAAAAGGAACATTAGATCTAATAAAAAGAACATTATACATATTTAAAAGAACATTTAACATATTTAAAAGAACATTATGCAAGTATAAAAGAACATATCTTACATTGTCAGCCTTTAACCCACATTCCCATTTCCAAATGTGAGGGATTATTTCTAGTGCTACATATGAGGATGTATGAATGTATAGATTTTTATGCTAAAGATAGTGAAGGATGTAAATAATAAATAATTAACGGACACGTTGAAATTGCCAATATCACAATTCAATAGTAAGCTAATTTTTCAAGTAGATAAACCAGTAGCAATAATCCAATAGAAGAACATCGTATTACATCAAAAAGAACATTATCAGAAACATTAACTTTAAATAAAAGAACATAATACAAATTTGGAAAAAAACGTCGTATTACATCAAAAAGAACATTATCATAAACAATTAATTAATCATTGAATCATTTCCTACTAAACGGATCTACCATTTTTAATTACATTAAGAACTTCAAAATTCCAAATTAACTCATAAACAGTAATAAAGACCCTACCAAACAGATTTACAATTTTTTTAGTACACTAACAACTTGAAATGCCAAATTAAATGAGAAAAGGATGTTTTGTACCCCAATTACTTTGTTTTTACCAAACTCTCTATGAATTTCAAGATATGAGGGTCCACAATTAGAGCAACATCTTCACCTTCTTCTTTCTTTTTGCTTTTTTTTTTTCCTTTAATATTTTGAAAGCTGCTTTCAATGGAATATCTTCCTCATTTACCACTTTTTGTGCACTAAATTAAAAAAAAAAAATTAAAAAATAAATCAAACAAACATGCATAGAACTTCTTAACTTTCTGATTTATAATTATCTTTTAAAACACAATTAAAAGTACAAATTATAGAATTGAATGAGAAATTCGCACTTACGCATCGTTTTTGGCCTTCATAATTGCAAAAAAACTTGATTAATTTTTGAAGATGATTCAATTTTTGAGTAAAATAGGGTTTCTTTGAAAGGGGGGAGATGGGGAAGATGAACTACTTTTCACTTTTTTTGCAGAGTAAATTTTAGGAGAAAGAAAAAAAATAAAAGTTTATTCAATTACGTCTAAAGTGGACCCTAAAATTTTTAAAAGCCCATTAACTGTCCATCCTCAATTAAATGCGCGCACTCTAAAACGTATAAGATGTTCTTTTATAAACCATGTTCTTTTATTTATAGGGTGATGTTCTTCCGGGTGTACCATGAGCATGGTACACCCGGGTATACAAAACAATTATTGGAATACAGAAATTGCCAAATAAAATCAAGCTTGGATAATTTTCAAAGATATAAATGATCACAACACGATAATGGATATTTCCTCCATTTATGTAGTATATCCCTACATTCTACTATGCATTTGACGGGTTCTTTTTTTTATCTTCAAACTTTTAATTTTGGAGATTCTCACTTTTATCGTGTGATACCTCACTGCATGATCGATTATATACAGAGTACTAGTATATACTATACAATTATACCAGGCATGTATCCCTGAATAATTTCCTTTTTCAATCAAATTCTTGATATTATCTTTGATATCCTTATCATGTCCTAGTAAGATGGACGGTCTTTCGAAAGTCCGATTTTGTTGAGTAAAATATCATGTGGTGGTCATGTTAAAGGCTTTGTAAGGAATTGAAATTATTTAGCAAGCGTGACAAGTGATGGTGTGGGCGGCAGGGTCTGATTTGATTATACCTTTGATGCATGCTCTGTACTTCCTTGGAGATTGTTATATACACCCGGGTGTACGGTACACCCAAGGATATTTGTTTGTTCATTTGATGATAAAATGAGCAATAATCATAGCGTTGGGGGGAACAACTAGTAAAGAGTAAAAGAGACAAGTCAAGGTCTTGATATTATCTTTGATTTGATATCCTTAAAACCCTTAACAAAGTCATTCAACTCAACTCATTTTTACGAAAACAAGACAAAATATCACAGTAGCTAGAGCAAGTATTGTGCTTTAATTAAGTGTAAACAAACATCAGAAGTTTCTTCTCCTTCAACGCCTTTTGTCTGCTTGACCCCTTCCGCCCTTCGATACCCAAACTTCTATGGATGATATTAGTATAGTTAATATATTAATAGCTACACCTATAATAAATAGGTTTATTAAAATAAAATGGTTAACCTCTATTTTACATCAAATAAATTAGAATTAGTTACATATTTAGTAAATAACTCATGGCAGGGAACAAAGCAAATTTAAATTATTGATAGTTTAAATCTATTTTTACCATAAAACTATTAGTATATATATAACAGGTTTAACAAAAAAAATCATTGAGCAATATTATTTCAACTAGTTTCATAATTAAAAGCTGTGAGAAAAAAATTATGGCTACTAAATTACATTACACATTGCTTTTTCTTGCATTTTGTTTGGTCGTCTTACAAATTAATGGTCAGGAACCGGCTGAGGGTGATACCATTGTATTTGACATAACCAAAAACGGTGCAAAGCCTAATGCTGATGTTACACAGGTAAAGAATAGTTTTTACGTGATTGTTACTGTCTCATACAAAATTTTGTTAAAATATAATATCGATTTGTGAATGTATATGGTCGAAATAAATTGAACATTTGTTTGTTGAATAATTTTCAGGCATTTTTAGACGCATGGAGTGACGCATGTGAATCAAAAAAACGAAGCAAGGTATTAATTCCTGAAGGAGATTACTTGCTAGGCCCTATTAAACTAAAAGGTCCATGCCAAACACCAACTACAATAGAAATTCTAGGGAACTTCAAGGCCCCTTCAAGTTTGGCTTCGTTTAAGAACGAAGATACATGGTTTAAGGTAGAAAATGTCGATAGTTTGACAATCACAGCTCCTAAAGGGGCAGGTGTATTTGATGGCCAAGGACAAGAAGGTTGGAAACAGAATGAGTGCGTTAAGAGCTACGTCAACTGCTTCACCCTTCCTTATGTAAGATCTTTAAATCCCTATTAATACTTTGAGAAGTCTTGGGTCATAAGAATGTCACACATTCTAAATGTGAGTCTGTCATTTATTCGTAATGAAATTTAATTTGATGCAACAGTTCACATTGATATATCTTTGTTACAGTCATTTGGTTAGTCCTAGGATGACTTGTTATATTGTTAAGGGATGATTTGCCGTTTGTCTCATCATACATTGTATAACATTGGTCACACCAAGATGGACTATTTGCTAAAAGTAACCCTAAAAAAAGTCAACTGTCAACTCCTCTATAGATCAAGTCTCTACGATTTTTCATACCAAGAATGTTTACAAATGATACAATTCCTAATGACTTATGTTGTGCATTGCAGAACTTTAGGTTCAATTTCGTGACAAATTCAAAGGTTATCGGCTTAACTTCAAAAGACAGCAAGATATTTCACATAGCACTCCTAGGGTGTAAGCACCTGGAGATGACTGACATAACTATAACGGCCCCAGCAGACAGCCCTAACACAGATGGCATTCACATCGGGCGATCAGAATTTGTTACCATAAGAGGATTCACCATTGGTACCGGAGATGACTGTGTGTCCTTCGGTGATGGTGCTAAGAGCATCCTTGTAGAAAATGTCACCTGTGGACCTGGCCACGGTATTAGTGTTGGTAGTATTGGCAGATACCCTAATGAGGAGCCAGTCTCAAACATCACTGTAAGGCATTGTACCATCAAGGATACCGACAATGGTGTCCGTGTTAAAACTTGGCACAACTCTTACCCATCCACTGTTGATAACTTGCATTTTGAGGATATCACTGTTGAAAATGTTAGAAACCCTATCATTGTTGATCAAGAGTACTGCCCCTACGCTAACTGCATAGAAAAGGTAAATCTATAATTTATAATAGATTCACTTACATACTACATTCATTAATTATTATGTTTAACTTTGGAATTTTTTATATCTTACAAATAATACCAAAAGTTGGACATAATAATTAACAAAAGTAGTATATATACTTGTATTTGTTTCTCTGTACTTTGCAACAATGCGGTATCGTACTTTTCTTTCTTTCTGACCTCCTAACAATGTACATCATTTCATTTTCGTAGACACCATCAAAAGTTAAGCTTTCCGATATTAAGTTTACGAACGTGAAGGGAGCTTCAAGTGGCAAGGAAGCCGTGAAGTTGATTTGTAGCAGCGGATTTCCATGTGACAAGGTGGAGCTCGCAGACATAGACCTTAAGTACACTGGCAGCGATGGTCCAGCAGTTTCGATGTGTAAATTCGTAAAGCCTACTCTTGTTGGAAAGCAGAATCCACCTGCTTGTGATGCCCCTGCTACCCCTGTTGTTGAACTTTAAGTGCAAGGACATCAGGGCTTCTATTGTTACATACCAAAGTTTTGTAGTCTTCAGTTTTTCTTACCCCTCAGTATTTTAATAAATAGTCTAGCACTCTAGCGCATAGACTGTCGAATAATTTGTATGATTTTACAATTATTCGTCTACTTTATGTAAATGAAAATCATGTTCCTTTTCTCTGACATCTGTTTCGTCCAGTATTGTGTTTTGGAGATGCAATAGCCAAGCCAAGAATTTTACCGAAAACAGGCCTAATAACACAAAAACTAGAGCAAGTATCTTGCTTTCATCAAGTGTAAACAAGCATCAAAAGTAGCTCCTCCTTGAACGCATTTATATTTTCTTAGCACTTGACACTCACTTGACTTCCATTGACGATGATCCTTTTATATGTTATCAATGAATTCACTATGAAATGTTCTTCAGCTAGATCAAAATTATCTAATCCCACAGCACCCATATCAGAAGCACTGAAGCAACTCAAGATCAGTTTTACGTCAATCCATACAAGCGCTATGCTCAAGTAGTAAAGTGGACATCATATCGGCCATTTCATATACACGGTCTTATAAGTTTGGATATAATAGGTCAGATGGTTAATTGAGGAGAAAGTGATCATTCTACAATATAATTTTTCCTGTAGTTTAAGAAGATAATAGTACCTCAGTAATACACCTTAAGAGGAGACTCACAGTAGACACAGTAGAGTTTAAAAAATGTCATACATAACTCTATCAAATCTACATGAACTTAACGAAGAAACAAAACTTAACACGATGTGAACGCAGATAGATCGACCCAAATTAGACTAATGGGAACTGTCAGAGTTACTCAGAATATGATAGAAAACTATACATCAGATAAAGGAGTTGGGAGTTGGGACATTCATTTTATTCCGAATCGAGGCAAGTCACTTAATTGTTCTCATATACACCATTTAGCTATACAAAGCCAAAGAATATGATGTATGTAAACCATAGGTTATCAATAATTATGGATTTTACGGTTGGTTTATTAAAATAAACCAATTGTTTACACCACTACTACTATTATTAAGGAGTAGTGGGTTTGAAACTTTGAATAGACGGAATGCTATTTACATTTCCTAATAAAGGGTAGTTATAGCCTTATGGAGTTATGGGTGGTAATTGATTTTATTATAAAAGTTACAGTGAATATATTTTCAGACATCCCATAATAATTAATATGTATTAAGTTTATTATGAGAGAGATAAACATAATGAAATAACCCGAATCGACCGTTAACAAACACAAATATGATCCGTTTACCCAAGTCCAAGAGCACCAACAGTTTCATTCAACTCTACTCATAAAGAAGTTCAAAAGCAATGTGTAAAAAGAGGGCAAAAAAAATACAAGCACAAAAGGGAGGTAGATAGAACCTGCCTGTAGATAGTAAACAGAGGAGCAATCTGTTTACAGCATTTTTAATAGCTACGGTACTAAATAAAATTTGCAGTTTTTATTTTTATTTTATTTTTATTTTTTTTTTATGGGATAGTTGGTTTCTTGTTTTATCTTAGTTAATTACGCGGGAAAAAAAAATTAGATTCCTAAAAGACTAATGGTAGAGAGTGAAAAGAACATGATTCAACTGAAGGTAACAAAGGTATGAACAAAACCTTTAAAAATTATAGCTCGTTTGTCGTTTCAATTAGAAAGGGTGCTAATAATAGAAATATAAGTATTTTTATGCCTAGAAAAATAGTATATAAAGACATAAGCAAGCGGGCACAAAGAGTAAAAATATTTCAAACAGTTATATACCAAATAGAAAGAAAAAAAAATGGCACCCATAACAAAACTTCCATTGTTCTTTATTCTATTTCAATGGTGCATCGTAGCGATTAAGGGACATACGGCCGCTAGTGATGGTGTTGTATTTGACATATGGAATCATGGAGCGAAACCTGATCGCGATGCTACACAGGTGAGTGATTACGCATGCTCGAAACATACATAAAAAAGCATAATAAACTTCTTTAATGTCAGTTTTTTTTAGAGTACAAAGATCTGTTTTCTTTTTTTTTTAACAAATTTCTTGCTGTTTAGGCCTTTTTGAGTGCTTGGAAAGCAGCTTGTGCAGCGACTACTCCTACCACAGTTTTGGTCCCGAAAGGATCATATGTGCTAAACGCAATCAAGCTTCAAGGTCCATGCAAGTCTAGAGTCACATTAGAAATTTTAGGGAACTTCAGGGCTCCTGCTGACCCGGTTCTATTTAAGGGTGAAGATACATGGGTTAAGATTCAAAACGTTGATGGTTTGACTATCACGGCTCCTAAAGGAGCAGGCGTGTTCGATGGTCAAGGATATATGGCCTGGACAATGAATAACTGCTCTAAAACTGGCAAATGCAATAGCCTACCTTATGTAAGTTAAGCATCCTTAATATTACACCAAGTCACCAACCAAGTCGGTCTAGTTTCATCCCTATCAAAATGTAAGGATGCTTAGTTTTTTTTTTTTTTTTTTTTTTTTTTTTTTTTTTTTTTTTTTTTTTTTTTTTGAGAACCAGCAGGGAAAGGATGCTTAGTTTAATGGTAATTTTTTTTTTCTTTTTTCTTCAATTGCAGAATTTTAGGTTCAACTCCTTGACGAATTCAGTGATTCATGGCATAACTTCGCTAGACTAATAATGCATGACATTACTATTTCTGCCCCAAAAACTAGTTTAAACACTGATGGAATTCACGTAGGACGTTCAGATGGAGTAAATATAACACTTGCACAAATTGGAACAGGAGATGACTGTGTTTCCATTGGGGATGGTGCTAAAAATGTTCATATCGAGCAGGTCACTTGTGGACCTGGCCATGGTATTAGTGTAGGAAGTCTAGGTAGGTACCCTAATGAGGAACCGGTGCAAGATATCACCGTGAAGGGATGCACAATCAAGAACACAGATAACGGTGTTAGGGTTAAAACATGGCACAACTCTTACCAAGGTGTGGTCACTGGCTTGCATTTTGAGGACATCACTGTTGAAAACGTCTTGAATCCTATTATTGTTGATCAAGAATATTGCCCATATAATCACTGCGTACAAAAGGTAAGAAATCATCTGCTACTATTAAGCTCCGAATAATTTAGCTGTTATAATATCTAAGACACCCCATAATTATGTGTAGTCCAAAGACACCCCTGTATAAAATATATCCCCTGCAACCCCCCCCCCCCCCCAACACACACACATACACACTCTTCCCGAATAAAAGAAGCAAAACCAGCTTAGTGAATCAACTATGATGTACTGATTATTCTTTTCATGCTTTTGTTACAGACACCATCCAAAGTGAAGCTTAGTGACATTAGATTCAAGAATGTGAGGGGCACATCAGGTAGCAAGGAAGCAGTGAAGGTGGTTTGCAGCAGCGGCGTGCCATGTGAGAAGATACAGCTCACTGACATCAACCTGACATACACAGGCGAAGATGGTCCTGCAGTCTCTATGTGTAAAAATGTCAGGCCTGTTGCAACAGGAAAGCAGATCCCACCCGCTTGCACTGCACCTGCTACCCCTGGTAAAGATCTATGAAGACATTTAAGTTTTAAGCTTTGTAAAATTTTCCCCTGTTTCTTAGCTAGTGTGTTGAGTTATCACTTGTAATCTCACAGTGATCTGATATACAAATTCAATGGAGGTACATATGCTTTTAGAGGTACATGTGTTATAATTCATATAACAATTACCACAAGTACAAAACTTGCGACTGTTTTGCAATGAAAATTCATTTTAGTACCTCCAATATCATTCTTGAATATATGCCTTGACAATGCTAAGAATTGCTAGAGCTAAGAAAAGGTTGGGACTCCACCAAACACATACAAATATAATCCCAGATTTTGGTGTAATAGAAGTAGTACACTATAATGACATACAAATACTGACTGTCAGGGAAATTTTCCTAGTAAAAAAAATATGGACTTTAGTCAGTTTGTTCTTTTCTTATCTCCTCTTGTGCATTGCTAACATTACAGCAAACCCTGCCATGGATTCCAGATTTATATGACTTAAAAGGTAGTTTTATGTTTTGTAGTTCCCTCAAAAAAATTTAGAAAGATCCAAATCTTTCAACAAGTGCTCTTGGGTTGCTTACCTGCTCCATAGAGGACTTATTAAAAAAGAAAAAAAAAAAAAAATTAACCTGCTTCCTCTCTTTTAGCTTCATGCAATAATTTGTGCATCTCAAAATGTAATTGGATACAACATTTGTGAAAAAAGGCAACTTTAGTGACTTTATTAAGAAGCAGTAATTTGACATTTTACAAGTCAAAATCTTGTTTGGACTGTGCAATTGTGCATTGATATATACTGTATATTAGAACCTTCTAAAATTATGTTTAATTATTAATCACAAATGAATATCATTTATGTGTACAGGAGAAAGTAGTAGCTGTCAAAAGATGAAAATCAGATGACTTTTTCAAGAGAATTGGGGAGAAAACAAAGTTATTTGCAAGCTTGGATGGTTTGGCACAGATATACAAACTTTGCCAAGGATCTTTCAACAAGAACTTACAGATAGTTTGTCGGTGATTTCATCACATTGGACTTCATCTCTCCCCTTAATGAGACTCAGATCAGTTAAACATCTCGCAATGGCACTTCTTCATGGTGCATTGTTATTATAGCTTCAGTTTGCTTAACTCAATCTTTTTCACAGGATATGTATATGCTTCATAATTAATTTGCTGTCCCAGGCAGCTTAACTTCGTAAGAGTAGTTATCAGGTCAACCTAATAAAAGATCAAGGACCAGAATTCATATGAAATTGGAAGAAACTAGTTCCAATTTTAAAAGAGGAAGCAAAATGAAGGGTGTGTGTGTGTGTGTGTGTGTGTGTGTGTGTGTGTGTGTGTGTGTGTGTGTGTGTGTGTGTGTGTTGGGGGGGTCATATTTAATCTAACTTGAAGACCTTTCACTCACCTCATAGTCTGTCTGAGAAACTGTTTCTCGACTGCGCTGGTATTTCTGAACCCATGGAGCAACTTCAGGATCTGTAGCCAATAAGTCCTCAGTTGCTTTTTGATCAGGACCAAGAAATGCAGACATAACAGCCAGCTGTTGAGCAAAATAAGGTAAAGTGGATTGATTAGGGTTTACCCAGTTAATCATTGTCATTTTGATGATACATAATAATGAAAATTGGATTATTTACATTTTTTATGAAGATGTGATTAAATAAATCAAGATGAAAAGACCACTACATACTGCAAGTAGAAATTCTAACATAGCAACAGAGATGCAGTCTCGGATTGCTAACATAACAAGTAACGGTAATCAATATCATCATTTCTCACACAAACCAAAAAGAGCAGTAAGTTTAACCTGTTTATGAGAGTTCAAAATATAATCTTTGTTACAGCTAGCATAAGAGTTGCTTCTTTTACTACCCATCCACAAATCTTCAAACAAATGTGTGAAAATAGCTTCTCTTAAATCTCTAAGAGACCCACAAAACTAGCACGACAGCATTATTTGGTGCTCAAGTATCAGTCCAAATCACAAACAAAGAGATTTGTACAAAGAAATTCCAAGGGTTAAATGGCACAAGGAAATGTTGCGGCAACTACCCCAAGTCCCGAACGCAACAATTACTGAAGTGCACTAAAAGATCTTTCAAGGATTAAAGAAAAGCATTAAGAACCTGGGGGTGGGGGTGGAATTACCTGACGTGGGCCAAATCCCACGGCTTTGAATTTATCCTTCATTTCCTGGACACTTGCTTTATCCCATTGGGGAACTCTGCCTTCTGGGTCTGGTTCTTGGGCATCTGTCCTCCCAAATGTCTTATCAAACAGGCCCCACTATTGCATCAATTTGAGCATTACATGCAAAAGCACAAGTAAAAAGTCATCAGTGGACATCACATGGATTTTTTTATTTAAATATCTAGAAAAAGCCCGTCTGTTAAGGTTGTCCAGAATGTCCAAAGTATAGGAAACAGACCTGTCCATTAGAGCCATACGCTGTATATAATAAAGATCCCTTCTCTTCATTCCCACCACATTTACGGATAGCAGAAGCCAGGAAAGTATTCTTTAAAGCTGATTGTGCTGCATTGATGAAAAGAACATGCTCATGGTATCCATAAGTTCAAGTCCATTACAGTGTTACACTATTGTTTCCATTGGCTAGGATTGGAGACTGATAAACTTAATTCATTCTAGTTCTGCATTTACTCCTCGCACCTAAATTAATGATATAAACATTTGTATAAGTTATGCAACCACAATAATTTTCTACCTCTATTAGTATAGTGGAACGCTACACTGAATTCCACGCCTCCACTACATCTCTGTTCAAGAATATTTTCTCAAAAACTAGTGCCTACTGCTTACTAAGATTACTTAATTAGAATAATCCACAAAGACACAGTATGTTGCTTACAACTCCTAGAGTGCCAGCTAGAAACCAAATTCAAGGAAGAACATGCATTTATGCGATGGAATTTAATGAAGAAACGTCACATGTTAGAAAAGAATATACTACCTTTTCATATTTTTTGCAACTTTGGAAGAACATGCATTTATGCGATGGAGTATTTTATATCTCACAAATAATACCCCAAAGTTGCAAAAAATATGAAACGGAGGTAGTAGAAATAGTCACTAGTTGTCTAACCTGCACATTGGATAAGGTCCGCATAGGCGATAGGTCCCCCCTTAGAGTATGAATCAATTTCTTTTTTTGCATCCTCCAACAGATTTAAGGCAGAAGAAAGGCCTTTGTTTTCAGGTCTGCTTATCTCTGAGCTTCAAGCAAGAAGTTCAAACAAGAAATCAACCCTAGTCTCAAGAGTCTGTGGGAAAACAGACCGCTACAGCCATAACATTGATGGGCTAACACCATATATCAAGCTTCTGAGACAGGCAAGAGGCAGATACAAAATATTGATGCAAAGAGAACTGGGTTGACATTATTCTAGCCTCACTAAACAATTCACACCATTTCACTGAGGTAATCATTTTTTCCAGAAAATACCTGAATCGTATTGAACCATTTGGACCTCCAGATTTTGAGGCCTACAAAGTTAACCATAAGGAATCAGTGTCTCATTAATCTATTACTTTGCCACAAGTAATGTATAAAGAAGATTCGTATAAAGAAACTTAATATAAAGTATCAACGATGTCACCTTGTCATAAGTCATCACATCATTTAGAGCTAGAGTTAGGATAGACGGAATAAGGTCTGGATTTTTCTGAAAAAATAACAAGCAGGATGTATCAGCCTAACAAAGAAATACTATCAAAATATTCAAAACTACTAAGCTAATAGCTAATAGTCCATATATTATAAATACAACACATGTATATAGTATATATTAGTAGCATACCTTTATAGCTGTATAAAGTGTCCCTTTAATATCAGCTGCAATGTAATAAAGTAAGGACATTAAGCTTAAGTAAACTACTTAAAACAAAAATTGCCAAGCATCTGAGAGACTTACATTGAAACTCGGAGCGCTGCCTTCTCTGAATTAAATCAGCAGCATAGGCATCTCCAGAAAAGGTTCCTGAACTTGATATTACTTCCTGAGAAGGCATTAAGACGGGTAATAAAATAATTATCAAATTACAAAAAGGCATAATTTGGGTACTATATGTTTTACCACAACATAAAATCACTCAGTCAGTAATTGAAAAGCAGACACTTGTGTTCAGAAGTAAAGTTCTTCAAATGTAACAATCAATCAAAGCCTTAATCCCATAAGTGGGGTCAGCTACATTAACCAAATTTGATTATTTCGTGTAGTCATTGACATAAATCTTCCTCTTCCACTTCTTACGATCCAATGCTTCATCCTCATACATATCCATATACTTCATATCCTTCCTAACTCCTTCCAACCAAGTCATTTTCGGTCTCCCTCTCCCTCGTTTAACCCCGCCATGTAACCACTCTTCGAACCGGTGCACCCTCGGGTCTCCATCTTACATGCCCAAACCAACACAGGCGATTTTCCCTTAGTTTGTCTGCAATGCCTGCCACACCTACTTTTTTGCGAATAACCTCATTTCTGATTCTATCTCTTAGAGTGTTCTCGCACATCCACCTTAACATGCGCATTTTCGTAACGTAATTTAAAATTTTGGCAAGCAAAAGAAGAAGTACAAGGCTTTTGCCAAGGAGGCCAGGAGTATAGAGCTCTAAGCCAAACAACCAAAACATGAGTACATGGCATAACCACCATCCGTTCCTTAAACTGCAAACTCTCCTCTTAATCAAGTATCACCTAGCCGATTTTATTGTTCTCAACTGCAGCATCTACAATGACTAACCTCAATAATCATTCGAAAAAAAATAAAAAACATCTGCTTCATAGAGTGGCCTTTGGCTTAGGGAAGACGTAATCATGTTTTAAGGGTCTAAAGTCTAAACACCGATTAAGGTGTGTTTTGTTCAACTAATTCTAACTTACTGCAGATTTAAAAGTTCAAATAAGTTCCAATAAACTCAAATAACTTCTAATACGGTTCAATACACAACTACAATGAGTTCAATTCGCAACTATGATAAGTTCCAATAAGTTCAATACTTCAATTGATGTTAAGTCACAATTGGTTGAACAGAAAACACCAAATTGCATTCAAAACAAAAAATATATATATATAAAAAATAAAATAAAATAACTCCATAACATTTAACATGGTAAAGAAAGGCATATAATGTCAAAATCAACCAAAAATACAAAACAAAATGTATCAAAATTAGACCATAATTGTACACAATTCAACTTAATATAAATTGGAAACAATTCAGAAAATCTGCAGAATTCTCCAAAACCCTAAACTTATAAAATGAGAAGAAATACATAAGAAAAATGATGAGAAACAGCTCACAATTCCAGCAGACAATGCAAGGCAGTTGAGAAAATCCCTTCGTCGAAATCGATCATCATCTACCACCAAATTGATACTACTACAGCGAATTGTACCCTGAAATTGTGCTAAAATTGAGTTAATCATATAATTTGGAGTAAAATTGAATGAAAATGTGAGAAATTGGGAATCATACAGGAAGAGGAGAATATCTGGTAGTAGTAGTAAAAATGGCGGGAGAAGAGAGAGAAAGAGGAGAGAGAGAAGGGAGTGTTGAAAGGAGGGAGAGTGACACCATTATTGAGGAGGAGAGAGAAAGTGAAAGAGATGGAATTTTGGAGCCAAAAAAATTGGTGAAAAATCGAAGAATGAAGGAGTATTATGAGGTGGGATGTGTTTTGCTGATATGTGTGGAGAGTGGAAAGCGGGAGTGGGGTTTTTTAATTGGATATCAATATATCATCTGTTATCCTAATCAGTCTATTCATCTGATTTCAGAAAATGTGTAAAAGATCCTGTTAGAGTTCGGCACGGTCCTATCATGCCAAAAACGGACTAAGAGTAGAAGTGTCAATTCGGATGTTCGGATCGGGTTTGATGAGGTCAGATCGAGTTAATTTTTAAAGTTGAGTTATATTAAATTATTATATCCACGCGAGTCGAAAATTGAATCTGATATTTTTTTTGGTCGATTTCAGATCGGGTCGTTCTTTAAAGTTGAGTCGTGTTAAATTATGTCCACACGAGTCGAAATTTAAATCGGATATTTTTCGGGTCGATTTTAGATTGGGTCGAGTCGGGTGTGGTTTTGACACCTCTAGCTAAGAGAGAAAGTCGAGTCATGTTGTATTTGTGTCATGTTGTGCCATTAGCCCATAACAATGAAAACCCTCGTAATTTTTACTCGCTAATTTGCTATACCTTTTTTTTTATGCCGATTTAATGATGCAGATCAACTTGTCATTCTCAAGCAAATTTTATACATAATTTCATGTACAATCCATGGCCCTCTGGCATGTCTCTCGTGTCATGTTGAGCTTATAATTTCATGTACAGTCCATGATCCATTAACATACCTCTCATGTCATGTTGAGCTTGTATAGTGGATTGTGTTGGGTAAGATCATTTTTATCTTTTATGTCATGCCTAACAGACCCTCATGACCATTTCCTCTAATCAATACTAAATACGGAGTATACTATAAGTAATTTATCCTTTACTCCTCTAATTTGTTTTTCTTAGATTGTGTGTCAATGTGGTGAACTGAATGAAATTTAAAAGAAACAATCAAACAATTACCTTCAGCTTTCAATTGTAGAGTAAATACCTAATACTTCCTCCGTTCTAGTAATATTGCAATAACTGAACTTTTACACTATTCATTATGCTTGTTTGACCACACATTATGATTTATACGTAAAGCAAAATATAGTCATGTGGGGTTTTGTTAGATTCGTCTCGTAAAATACTTTCACAATATCAAAAATTTATAATTTTCACTCTTATATAATTATAGATATTTAGCATATAAAATGTACTTTGAGATGCGTAATTTCATTCTTGTTGCAATATTTGTGGAACAGAGGAAGTAACTATTAACTAATGAAATTAAAATTATGTAACAACTCCATAAGAACCTTAAAATTTAGTCACATTTTAAGGTTAGCCCTAACACTCCATTTGAAGCCCAACAAGATTGTAAGGGACTTTTGGGTATGGAGCAGGTTAATCAATTTGGGCCGCACTTAGGGGTACCGATCGATATAGTAGGACGAAAAGTCACATCCTTTCACTTTATCGTTGACAACATTGGGAAAAGAATCTCATCTTGGAATGCGGTGCTTCTTTCACAACCACAAAAACTTATATAGATAAACTCTGTTCTAGTGACGATAGCCTCACAAATTCTGACTTGTTTCGAAATTCCTGCATCTATCGCAGATAAGGTTGACTCTCTTTTAGCTAGGTTCTTCTGGGCTAATAAGGAGTACAAGGGTATGCATTGGGTGAACAAGGAGACTACGCATCTTCCGAAAGGAATGGGAGGACTTGAAATTCGCAGTTTGGCCTCCTTTAACAAAGCTCTACTTATGAAGCAAGCATGGAGAATTAGCCATAATCCTCAATTGCTTCTCTCAAAAGCGTGCACAGCTAGGTTCCAGTCTCCGCTTCATAAGGGGTGTCCGATTACTCTTCAGCACAAGAATTATTCATGGGGCATGAGGGGTCTTGCCAGAGTGGCAAACATACTTGTCAAGGGCTATAGTTGGAAGATAGGGAATGAGAAGTCTATTGTGGCATGAAAGGATAGATGGATGGTCGGTAAGGTCCCAGAATTCAAGACTCATGTGACTTTATCGCAAGCGACGAGATGGAAAGCAAGTGACTTTATGGCACACCTTGGGTGTGGGTGGAATCGTCAGGCGAAGCTACTTTCCTGCTTAGAAAGGGATGATGCAGCAACATTGCGTGCTTGGAATTACCAGATTAGGAGTCAGAGGACTATATGTACTGGCAGCATCATAGATCAGGAAGTTTTACGGTGAAAACAGGCTACACTTTTTTTAACCATTTAGAGGGTTGTATTCCGTTGGAGGGTGTGAATGACTTTTTTAAGGTCTTGTGGTCTCTCAACATTTTACCTAAATGGAAGATGTTCATGTGGAGAGTGTTATCAAACGGGATTGCAACGAAGACTAATTTGGGATGGCGGGGCATGGATATTCATACCTTTTGTGATTTGTGTCGGTTCCAAAAGGCAGATTTACAACATCTTTTTAGATTTTGCACATCTGCAACAGATGCATGGAGGGGTGGAATCCTACAGATCCACTCAGAAGCAAAACGCAAACCAGCCAATTGTTGACTGGATTATGTACTATATCCGCCTTTTTATAGGCCAGGATGGAATTAGTGGTCATAGGACTACTTTCTTTATAGCCACACTTTGAGGGTTGTGGGTTGCAAGAAACAACAGAATTTTTTGAGGAGCAAATAGCAATCAGTTGTCTACACCAGCTATTAACTCGGAAGGGTTAAGGCAGCAGAGTCTATTTTCAAAAGATACAGGGGACAATCTACGGTGTTTACACCCTCCAGAGCGAGGATTGGATCATCCACCAGGGTTCCTGCGACCTATTTTACAGAATGCTGGCACGAGTGATATTTCCACGACTATATTGGTAGATGGCTCGTTGAATAAACGTACTCATGGTTCGAGATGGGAATGGTGTCCAGAAAAAGAAGAGTTTGGTATTCAGGAAATGTTGGGGGGCACGACTCACGGTTTGGCTCAATCGGCCTTACATGCGCAGATGAAAGCTTATCTTGAAGGTCTTCGGTGGGGAGCAAAACATTTATTGCAGGCTATCACAATTTACACGGACTCTGTTTCTCTCGTAAAGATGCTTAGGGAGGAAACTATAACTAATGTCAGTCTTAGATGGACGATGGATGAAATTCGCCGAATTTGTAACGCCTTTACATGGTGTAGCATCCACAATGTTCAAAGGGAACGAGTTCACAAGGCGCATATCCTTGCTACCACAGCTGATAGTAGTTTATCTTCCTTTAATAATGTTGTTTAGTCTGTTTGTTTAAGCTCAAGTCAAAAAAAAAAAAAAAAAAAAAAAAAAAAAAAAAACTCACTCCATAGGAACCACTTGTCACATGTGTGAGTGAAGTAAAGGGATTTGATATCCATAAAATTTTCATGACACTAGAATGACTTTTTCTATTGTAAACAATGTGACTTTTTCTTATTGCCAATTTTTCTGTATCAAAATAATTGTGAAATAATCTCTCAATTTTAATATTTTGTAAAAAAAATTATAACCACACTTATTTCACTTTTGGCACACATGCACATTTCATCGGAATTTTTTTCAAAGTAAGTTTTATTACAAAATTATTTTGTAAAGTAGACTCGTGGTCAAATTATTTACCAAACTAAGCTTGTGGGATAAATCGCCCTGGTTTTTTTTTAAAACAAAATTCAACGCGTAAAACGCTGTCTTTTTACATGTTGACTTTTTTTAAAAAAAATTCAAAATTTTTGATTTTAAAAAAAAAAATTTACACTATGTAATTTTTTTTTTTAAATTCTTAATTTCTGATTTTTATTTTAAATTAGAAAATAAGAATTTAAAAAAAAATTACACTAAAAATGCTGACTAAGTCAGCTTTTTAGTGTAATTTTTTTTTAAACACTGTATTACACAGCGTTTTACACATTGAATTTTTTTTAAATAATTTGGTAAATAGTTTGATCACGAATCTACTTTACAAAATAGTTTTATAATAAAGCTTACTTTGGAAAAAAAATTCCATTTCACCATTTAACCCACCTTTAGAGACTTACCCTTCATTTATTCCATCAATCTGCTCCCTATCTCCTACTTATCTTCCTTTTTATTCTTACAACCACCCAAATTTTCTTTACCCCACCTCTCCGTAAGTTAATCCATTTTAGATTTCTGAATCAAAGTATGTAAGTAGGAAAAAAAAAAAACAATGTTGAGTATTACATACATTTGTACAAACTTACTGCCTAAATATTCGATATACGAACTACGAAGTACAAGATAAGAAAGTATAAACTTTTATTTCATTTGATGTAAATATGAATAATTAATGTAATAAGAAACTATACATGTAAATTCCTGCATATGTCCTACCCATGAAAAACTGCACAGATGCAGCTAAGTATCCCTATTGGGGGGATTTCCCCCCTTTCGAAATAAGTAAAACTTTGTTTCCTCCTTTAATTTTACCTTGGTGAAGTAAATGTACACATTTTGCCTCCCTAATAAAACTGGAGGCCGTAATATCCTAACAATGCACCCGTTTCTCCTTTCGCTTAGCCTTGTCATCTCAGAAAAAATGAACAGAGAATGTTCACGTCATATTTATACCAAGCTTCATATGAATTTGCACTTGGAACTGCAGTCAGAATCAGATTGCTGTCGTCAGATATTGCAACTACAGTGAGTTGTGCAGTTTAAAGCAAATGTGTCTGTGTGTATAGCTCTGAGATCAGTTCTGCAGGTCACTATTTGACAGCAGAAGTATTTGTATGTAAGGATGCTCCTTGACTCTGACACAAACATTCTGGTAGAGGATTTTCATAAAATGCTTCTTCAGAGCGAAATCTGTCCATGCCCTTTGTTCCTGAAATTGGACCTTTTCTTCTTCTCGGCGACCCTTGCCTATTCAAGGACACCAAACATCAGTAATTGCAGATGAGACTAGAATTCCACAAAATATCTAGTCCATATGTATTCATCAATCCATGTATGTACTATGTAATATACTTCATCTATGTACCACTTTATCAATGCCTCCATAGACCCATAAAGCAACTAACTGACTGTCAGAGGAAAGTTATGAATGACAAGACAAAGAATAGCTAAAGTTCAAAGATGTTGTGATCTATTACCTTCTTCGGTGGATTTCAATTATTCGATATGATAAGTTCTTCCCTTCTTTCAAAGATCCTTGCTCAACTTTGTCAAACAAACGAACAAGAGATTTCCTGTGAAGAAACATGATAACAAATGAATTTCACATATTGTAACAAATATCCACAGGAATAGGGCTTAGAAAGAAATTTACCGGTCAGGAATAATTGTTTTTCTATGACCCAAGTATCGGCGATGACCTTCAACAGCCCTTGCCATATTACCCGAGTATGTAGGAATGAACACATCGCTTTCAACAGAAACAATATAATCCAGTGCAGCCATTTGAGATGCATGATTCATAAAAGGCTCCAGTTCTTCTACAGATGCTAGTTTCTCCTGAAAATGACCAAGAGAACAGTCAACGACAAATTACAAGTCCAAGTTTTCAACTTCCTACCAGCTACAATTTGGATGATTCACACTGTGAGTAAGCCATTAACAAATCTGAAAGCATATATCCTATCCTCAAGAACTTAATAAATATGAACTTATAACATCAACATAAACCCGTAGTAATTCAAGTTTAACACTGTAAATAACATTTGCTCACAAATACTCTGAATTCCTTGATATTTAATAGTTTTCATTTAACAAAAGAAGATTTCATATTTCTTCTATCCACATTCCGCAGTTTACATGGATTAGCAGGCACTTAACCCATAAGCACAATCGTAACATGACAGTCTTGACAGAATAATAAAATAGATAAAGCAACAAATTTAAATTGTTTTATTTTTTATAAAAGTTTCAAGTTTCATAATAGCTGGCTTATCTGTATACATGCATTGTACCCAGACATTCAGAATCCCCCTTAACTTGTTTCTTCTCATCCATACCTCTTTCTCCCTAACTCATATCTCATTCTGAAATTAAATATGTACAGCCAGATATCTAGACTAGAAGACAAAAGTAATAATTAGGAGCACAAAGATAGGAAATACCTTGTTCATCAAAATGGGATAACGAGATCGTAATTCAGCTATCCGAGATTCACCACCATATATCTCTCCGGCAGCAACATATATGGGAGTGTCAGATGGAAATCCAAGACCAGACAAAAATAAGCCAACCTCCTTTGGAGTCAAGGGACAAAACCCTTTAATCCTTTGTTCTGTCGCATTAATATCCTTCACTTTCCAATGTGTTGTATTATGCCTTCGAGTTCACAAGAACATGCAGAACATCAATTTTGTAAGCTAGGCTTAAAAATCAGTCTAAAGCACCAGTACAGCAATGGTAAATTATTCCTCTAAAATTGCAGCGGAAATTTAGCTTTACCTAATCGTGGTGAGCTCATCAGTTTCCTCATGAGATAATCCATGGGAGCATCCACTAAATGCAAGCATGTCTTTTTCATACCGTAAGTGCAGAGCAATATAACGGCCATAATTCCTCATTCTCTCCACCAGTAACTATACAAAAGAAAGAAAAGTTAAAATTCATACTGCATTTCATTGGTTATAAGCTATGCATTCATAAACTTATTCAGGGAGAAATTTACTTTTCCCATTGCTTCAATCTTTGGGGAAAAGCGGAGTGCTTCATAACAGGCACGACAGCGTAACTTCTGAATGTCAAGGGGGAGATTATTATTTGCTAAGCGAGAGTCAGATTTGGCAGCTCGGATCACCTGCCCCAAAAAGTTAAAAAGATGTTAAAATTTACACATGACAATGCAATTTCTTCAGTCTTGCAAACCACCAAACAGGGTTAATCAGAACAAGAACTAGAAATGTACCTGAAAGTTGTTCCACATGCTTGCTATGTCATTCCGGTAGTAGTCTAATCCAGACCAACTTCGAAAATGCTTCACTGCTCTAGGAGCAGTCATAAGTTCCTTAGGTAGATTTTGAACTACTTTAATATCATTAACCAGAGCTTTAATGAAATAATCTTGATCAAAAATATCTGCAAAGTTGCTGCAATCAAATTTTGGTTAGATTAACATAAGAGACAGAATTTCCAATCTCAAGCACCAGGTCAGTTGATGTCATATCAGTTGAAAACAAAAGACAATGAATGAATACCTAGAGTCTTGCCAAAATGACCTCTTATCAAGTTCCGGGATTACAAGAGTCGCATTAATGATCCGGGCCACAGCCACCATATCACATATCTGAAATTCAAACATGAAAGTGATGGGTGTCAACCCCTCATTTACCCAACCCAAAAAGAGATAATGACATTTTCTTAACACAAATTCATACGGAGTATAAATTTATCCAGATAATTAATTAGGTGGGGAAAAAAAAAAAAAGGGTGCAGCATTACACAAAATATACAGTAAAATCTCAAGAGTAAAAAAAGCACAGATATAATGTAAAACAATATAAGACAATGTTCTAATATCCTGGATTAAAATATAAAAGACAGTTTAAGTGTGAAGTTGCAACATATCTTTCCAACGTCATTTACAAACTAACTAATTTGAAGCCTGCATAAAAAAACTGTGGTGTAAATTCCTGTAAATGTATGATGGGAATGATGAGTGATGACGACTAACACTCTGCTCGTGATTCATTTGTTAAAAACAAATCGACTGGTATATAAAACAAAGACATATAGCAGATAAACTGTAAAATCCTAATTAATCAACCATATGAGCTTATCAGTACCAGACCTGGACCAGACATATGCTAGTCGTTCAATCAAAGTGTCCACCAAAACAGAACATCTCAAGAATTGAATGAAATATGAATAAGCTACTGAAATTAAATAGTGCCTGATGATATAAATCAAACCTCAAAGTTGCCTACAAATTATACTAGTGCAAACTAATAGTACAAACTTTGGCATACCATCATACAAATACAAAAACAAAAACAGAATCTCAATGTAATTCTTTATCACGGATAAACTCAGGCAAAATAAACAATATAATTAAGTAGTGTTTCCGAGGAGGAAGAGAGTGAAGAGGTAGGACAAACCCCGGCTCGCATCTGATTAAGACCACCATTAGTATGAACAAGCAGGTAATTCTGTGACTCTGCAGGAGCTGAAAAGTGTGAAAAACAATAGCAAACATATGAATTAATAATTTCACATTATTCATACAAATCAAGGAAAACCAAAAGAACAATTCCTTACGTGTATACACATTGCTAGGCTCAACACAGTGTATAAAATCGCGATTAGGAGGCTTCTTCCATAATTTGTCGTAGTCCAATAACCCACTGGCACCAATGAACTGTCAATTCTAAATGAGTGAAAAAATGAAAAACCGAGCATAAATTCTTTGCATCAAACAGATGGTTCAGAACTTTCAGCTCTCCACATTCAGCCAATAACAGATAAAATTTCACTTTACCAATATCATTATCAGTTATCAATTATAAAAATATTGCCAAACCATATGTGATTCCATTCATCATGTAGTTGTCACGTTACTGGTTTAAATCACACTATCAACGCGACTACTAATTCAAGACAACTACTAATTCAAGACAGATGTAATAACTAGAAAAAGACAAGGGGTGAGGAATCACATACCTTCTGTGAAGAAAGTGAGGGTTTAGCTATATTTGGAGGTGCATTTTCAAGCACAAGCTCTTGCTCAGCCTTTAATTTCGGAAAATTAGTTTCATGTGGCTGCAAATACGAAAACTACAACCAATTAGTTAATGGAAATAAGATTGTAAAGTGGAAAAACAACACATACACTCCACACCTTCTAAAGTGGAAATATTAAGCTTAATTCAAACACTAATTACACGATTCGACCCCTGATTTTATCATTCATCATATACCATAATCACTAATAACACTAATAAAAACTACTTATAAGATTGTTATAACAAAATTACCAAACAAACAAAAAATATGCACTTTTAGAAGTTACCCATCATTATACATAATATAAAATATTATCACCCCATTAAAAATTTAATGTCATGCTTCTTCAAATGAAACAAATCACTCATTAGTGGAAATTAACTAACAATAATATATAAATTTTAATTGCACCCATTATTTAAAAAAAAATAAAAAAAAAAATAAAAAGAAAAAAAAGAAAAAAGAGGAGAGAGAAAAAAAACCGTGGGAAGTTTGTAGGGATCAGGAAGCTTAGGAATACGGGGGACATGAACAGAGAAGAGGGCCAATAATCCAATTGTACAAATGGAGCATGTTAGAAACTTTCGAAGAACTGCTAACGTTAATAATCTTCGTTTTTGCGTCATTCTCTTTCCTTTCTCTCTCTATAATTTACTTTCTCTCTCTAGAAAATGTTTTAAAAAAGAAAAAAAAAAACTGGGGAAATTAGAGGGAGTATTTTCCAACCAAACACATCCTATGATCAAACAGGACAACAACTAACAAAAACTATAAACTGGGTTTATGTTTTTTCGGATAAATTAATGTAATCTTATTGGGTTTCTAATTAAATTTTTTTGAAAGAATCGAAAATTGTCGGTTGATTGAAAGAAGCTGGTATTGGTGTTGGTTTTTTTTGTTTCGGTGTTTTCGACGCTTTGAGCTGTGTTTGCGTTTAATGCCGATTTTTGAGGGGTTAACGGTTAGAGTATAAAATACAAGGAGAGTTTTAGAGAGAGAAAGTGGAGAGGCTTTAGAGAGAGAAAGAGAAGGAAGGGAGATTCTGGGTAAACGTGGGAGAGAGGGAGAAGGAGAAGAGAGGTGGAGGTGGGGGAAGTTTGAGGAATTTTGAAAAAGAGAAATTGAAATTTTGATTTATAATTAATAATTATGTTTTTAATTTGATAATTAGGAGATTAAGATTTGATTAAGGGAAAAAGAGGAAGTTTGTTAAATACTCGATAACATAGGAGTTTAAGGCGTAATATAAGCCCTGTTTTTGTCATTTTCTTTCACAATCTTTTACGAACTTTGCTCTTACTTGAATGATCCATTACTTTTAGGATTTCGTTTTTTTTTTTTATCTTTTTTGTGATTAGTTTTTTTTTTTAATGGCAGATGTTTAGATGGATTAGATGATTATACCTCGGTTTTTGGCCTTGTTTTGTGATGGCTATTATTGTATTAATGTGGTTGAAAATGTATAGATTAAGTTTTGTATATACACTTGTTTAATACGAGTGAACAATGCTTACCGTGTAAAGAGAGTCGTAAGGATAATAATGTAAACCAGATTTGATTCAAATCAAATGGACAATGTTTACTGGTTAAAGAGAGTTGCAAAGATAATAACATAGACCGGAATTGATTCAAGTTAAGTGAACAATGTTTATATATCACACTCATAAAGTCATACGTTAACATACTATGCTTGTTAGTTGCAAATTTGCAATTGGCATCCGCCTATGATTTTTATTTTACAATAAAAAAATTGAAGGGATTTATGTAAGGTAATATAGTTATCTTTTTATGCATTATGAATGATTTATATTTATTTTTTTATTACTGTAAATTTTGTCAATTTATGATATTTTTTCACCTATATACAATTTTTATCATGACTTAAAGAAGATGAGAATTGATCCCAATATCTTCTGTAATAGAGAGGGATTCTAACCACTTGAGTTATCCCTCACTCTCTGAATTTTAGCTAGTTAAATGGATTACAATGCTTATTTGTAACCCTAAGGTTACATATATCAATTTTATTTTATTTTTTTTTTGTTTCAATCATTACCATATTTTTATATGAATGGATTAGTTATTTCATTATGCATATTAAGATTAATAACCATATGGTAACTATATTTTTAAAGTAATAATAAACTTTACATAATTATATATTTACTTCCTCCGTTTTTTAATATTTGCAGCACTTTTCTAAAATAGAAATGTCAAAGTACTTGCAACACAGTATAATTGGAATTTTTTTTTATTATTTTTTTTTTAATTGAAAGTTGTACTATTACCCTTATTTAAGCTCATGGCCCAGTAAATTATACTCTTAACAATCTCTCACCCCTATTTTAAATGTATCATATCATGTGAGGGGCACTTTTCTTAAAAACTGTGAAAAGTATGTATTGCAATTTGCGAGTATTAAAAAACGGAGGAAGTACTATATACTACCTCCGATTACTTTTATATACAATTTTAGAATATTTTATATCTCTTAAATAATACTTCAAAGTTGCATATAAAGTAATAGGAGGTCGAAATATCCTCTGAAGGATATTACGATGGAAAGTAAAATAAGGGAGGGTATATTACCTACCTTGTGAACTTAAAGTCAATGTTAATAAATGCCATTATAATTTTATAAATGGCCAATAAGACTATATATTTTTGGGTGGTATTGTCACTTGTTTAATTATATTCGTTCGATATGCTCCATCATTAGAGGCTGCTACTTAAAATCCACTAATCATTTAAGCATACACCAACTGTATTGCTGTACTTAGACTATTCACCTAACTACCTTCAAGATTCTCAATTATTCTTGCTCACAATTTGATAATTTTCACGTTACAAACTAATTAATTGAAATTATATTTGTAGTTATTCAACTTAACATTATTAATTCATATAAATAATTATTTCTAGACCAATGAATAGACATTATTTTGTCTAGCCAAAAATCAATTTAAAAATGGCTTTGTTGCTCATAAATTGCAAGGACGTCCAATGGGATGTTCTTATGTCAAAATCTAGAGTACGTGATTGTAAATGGCTTACCTAAACTCCAAGGAAAGTCAATTGGAGTAAATGGCCACCAAATAGAAAAAAATTGTTTATCATGGTTATTGTATTTAATATTAATGTTTAATTTAATTAGCTACCTCAAATCTCGAAAAGTTTAACTTCACAAACGACGCAAAGCAATGAATTTTTATGTATAGAGACTAGCTAGAGGTTATAGAAGATGATGATGTACATAGGTATGATCTGAATATAATTTAAAAGGCAGTTAATAATAAAGTAGAATATTTTTTAGAAAGGTCAGGTAAGATAAACTGTCATATCAGATCAAAACTTTTTACATGACAATCCGATAGACTTTGCAGGCTAGCTAGACACTAGCTTTGAGAGTAGAGGGAAGGGTAAGAAAAATCATTAGCCACAGTTCAAAGTGCCATTTTAAGGTTGGAAGGCTCGATAATCTTTACCCATAGATTAAGCTTTGCTTAATGGCTGTAATAAAAAAAAATGCATAGAGTACTTATTCTACCGTAGCCCATACTAAGTATTTGATAATCCATTGTAGTGAATAATCTAGGAGCATAATATGTTGCTTCAGCACCAAAACAGTGACGTGTATAGGATATGATCTTGAAACAATAGTATAAAAGTAGTACAACTAAAGAAATCTTTGAATTAATGACGATTTGTACTAGAGTCTGTCCATCGTTGACAAAGTTGTGAACAGATATAAGCAGTGATGTGGAATGAATGGAATGAAGATTAAATACACAAAGAAGCTAAGTTCCATTTACCATTTTTAATTTGTAGATCTCAAGAATACACTCTTTTACCATGACTCTGCATGCATGTGCACCTACAAATTCAAGTATCCTAGTACAAGAATCGCGTATACATTCGTACCCCGTGCATAATTTATAAATTATGTGGATCGGATATTCTAGCATTAGGACGGTAATTAGGAATTATAATGTCAGTTAAGTATGTTATTTTATACAAAGTGTGTAGTTGGATTCTAATCGAGAACATTAATTAACTTACTTTTTACAATTATATATTTAACTATAATTATGTGTAACAATTGGGTATTTTTTATGAGATATAAAAGTAAGTTAGTTAATATTACGTACTAATTAACAATTTAACTACAGTTTCACATAATGTGGAAGTGGAACGGAGATAGTAGCTAGTCAGAGATAGAGTGAAATCTAACTCGCCCTTTTTGATATGAAATTAAAAGGCAATTTAAATTCATCCTCGTTGGTAGTCTAAATAATAAAAGATAAAATACAAGTCACCCTCCTTGTTTAATGAAACTCGCCCTCTTTGCTTAATTTTCTTATAGTGCTACTATCTCCGTTTTACATTATGTGTAATAATTGGATATTTTTTATGAGACATAAAAAATTTAATTGTTACACATAGCGTGCAAGTGAAACTAAGGTGGTATAAAAGATGGGTGTAATCAAATCCTTAATTAAGAACCAAAAACCCAAGCCACTCCTCCTTGTCGTCTTTTCTCTCAAGGTTTTTCAAAACTCATAGTTCTTTAGGCTAGAAATAACTTGTATGATTCACTTAATCCAAAAATGAAAGTGGATAATACTTGCAGAAATAATATTCGTTACATAGATAAAAATGTGTAGCACTTGTCTTATTCCTAAGTCCAAATAGAACTTTAATAATGACAGAATATTTTCTTTTATTATTTTCTAATACTTTAAATTTCTACAAGCAGTACTACTTACATTATATACAACAGAAGAGTTCTCGTGACATATTCAGTTTGCATTTTGGCAATCAATGTCTGTCTTTTTTGTCAACTTGCTTAAACATGGTTTGGGACTTTCGAGTTAATTTGTACTTTCTCTACCAATAATTCACGGTTTTGATGCATCACATATACTCGTAATAGAATGTTACTTGTAGACTCGTAGTACTACAGAGTACAGAGTACAGAGTGTTTGTTACGGAGTAGTAATGTTGTAGAAGTAGTATAGCTAGAATTATTAACTTACTAATATTACTTTTTAAAATTAATTCAAATCAATTAAAGGAGTTACACTTAAAGCCTGTTATGTTTACCTTATTTTCATTTTTTTATAAGAAAATTAGGTTCAACAAATTTCAAATTAGATAAGTTCAAGAAAAATTCGTTTAGAAAAGGTCTGATAAAGATTACCTAAGTTCAGATTACTAATTTATAACTATAACTAAAATAATTAATGATGGCATCATTATATCCACATGTCAATCTCTCATAAAAAAAATTCCCGTCAAAACTAATAATATCATTATTTTTTTTTTCACATAAATAATAGTTTAAAAAATGGTAAATTAATTATACATTTTTCTAACAGATTTTATATTTAAATTGGCTAATTACACAATTTTCAATGGAGTAAAATAAAAGAGTAGTTAGTCCTATACAGGTACTAAAACTTTTGTATAGAGTCTCTCTCTAAAATTAGGGTTCCTAGTTTTGGCTGGCGGAGTGGCTTTCTTGCGGTGTTCAAGCGGCTGTCCTCATCTAGTAGGGGTGGCGTAAAAGGTGTTTGTGCGGGAAAGAATGGCAGATGATCTTAGTGCTCGTTGGGCAAAGTTGAGTATCATGGATGAAGAGAATGATGTAGCAGTATTGAATAAGGATACCGATGATAAGTACCGAAGCAATCTTGAATTATCACTCGTAGGCAAAATCTTGACGTCTAGGGCATACAATTTCGAAGCCCTACAAAAAACCCTAACCCAAATATGGGCCCTTTCGAAGGAAGTGATATTCAGGAAAATCGAGAACAATCTATTCATAATACAATTCTTTCATTGGAGGGATAGGGAGAAGGTGTTAGATGGGGCACCTTGGAGCTTTGATAACCATCTGATTTTGTTGAAGGCGGTTAAGGGAGGGGAACAACCAGAATCGGTGGAGATGAAATTGTGCCCGTTTTGGATTCGTCTTTATAACCTCCCTTTTGATAGCAGATCAAACGAGGATATAAGGACGATTGCTAGCAAGTTTGGTGAGGTTTTGGAAGTTGAGGACGACATATTAGGATGGGATAAATCTCGAAGGGTGAGAGTGTTGTTAGATACAACAAAACCACTGAGAAGAATCCAGAAGATCAAGAATAAAGAGGGGACGATTTCGGTGGTGCAGCTAAAGTATGAACGGTTACCAACTTTCTGTTTCTCTTGTGGAATCATAGGGCATGCTGAACGTGACTGCATGATTTCAGATGAAGATGTGGAGAAAACAGATAAACAATGGGGACTATGGTTGCGGACATCACCAAGAAAGGGCACTGCTCTGAAGCAAGAAGAAAATTTGCGATTGCGTGCAGCAAGAACGATGATTTTCACACACAAACCTGAACCTAGGGCTTCAGAGGGGAGTAGCAAAAATGAAACATCCAATAACCATAAGGCGAACAAGAGAAAGGAAGTTCAATTAATGCCGGTGTTTGATAACCATTCCAAACAAGGCTGTTCTGCGTCCGATTATAATTTCTCCTGGGGGTGGTGGAATGCCTGAGGAAAGTGATGAATCCGCCAGTAATTGCGTCCAGAATAAAGAATGGGAGTATGGTGTGCATAAAAAAACCGACGCTGTGGCTGAGGAAACAATGTTGAGGCCCGAGCGAGTGGACACTGTTGAAGGATTGAATGAGGGGGTTAGGCAGGATCATATGAGAAATATTACAAAGGATGGAGGGAGATCTGATGTGGGTCTACATGGGGAACAGGATGCAGCACTGACCACCAATGTTGAGGATACCCAGGACAAACCCTTGGCATATAACCCATACAAGGGGAGGGAGCATAAAAAACTTAATAGAGTTATCATAAAGCAAAGAGGAAGTACGCAGACTACAGAGTATGATACTTTATGGGACCCAGGAAATTTAGAGGAGAAGGAGGACAGGTTTGGAGACAGAAGTGGCAAACGGAAAGTGGAGGATGAGATGGAGGTGGATGGGGGGGAAGGAGTGGGACTGGATGCTAGTAGGAAGAGAGGTAAATTCCAGCAAGAGGCGGATTCAATCGAATTACAAGCGAAAGTAGCGGAGGTGGTCAAAAACCCACCCCGCGAACATCAATGAAAATACTTAGCTGGAACTGCCGAGGAATTGGCAACCCTCGGACAGTAAGCTCTCTCCGAGACTGGTGTTGGAGAGAGATGCCGAATCTGGTTTTTATCATGGAAACCAAAATTGATGAAAGGAGACTGGATGGAATTAAGAGGAATTGTGGCTTTACAGAGGGGATAGCGGTGAGCAGCGTAGGTTTGGCAGGTGGGTTGGGGCTTTGGTGGAGAAATATAAAAGTGAGTGTGGTTTCTTTTTCCCGTAACCACATTGCAGTTGACATATTAGATGATAATGATGACATTACATGGAGAGCGGTAGGGGTGTATGGTTGGCCGGAGAATAACAATAAGCACAAAACGTGGCTCCTAATGATAACACTAATGCAGGGTGCTCCTGGCCCTTTGATTTATTTTGGTGATTTTAATGAAATATTGAGGGAGGAGGAGTGTCGAGGAGAGAGAGATGTATTGACGGGTTCCGGGAAGTTATTGATTATGTTCGAGTTCGTGATCTGCATTACAAAGGCAATATCTTTACTTGGCAGCGTGGTTTGACTACCGAAACTCTGGTGCAGGAAAGATTAGACAGATTTCTAGCTAGTGATGCTTGGTGCCACATGTTTCCAAACTATGAAGTTCATCATTTGCCGATTAACCTGAAGAGCTCAGACCATTGCCCAATCCTCTTGAAGGCTGGAATTCGAGAAGAAAATAGGAGGCATACAAAGTTATTCAGGTTTGAGTCTTTTTGGCTATCGAATTCGGAGTGCGAGAAAGTGGTGGCAGAAACCTGGCGCGACAATGGTATGTTTACAGTTCCGGAGAGGGTGGAACATCTCGCTAATGCTCTAAGGAAATGGGCAGGAAACATATATGGCAGCATTCCAAAGAAAATTAAAAAAGCAGAGGAACAAATGCGTATTATTCAATTGGGGAGGATGGATAATGCTAAACTAGCGAGATGTAGGGAGCTGTCTGAGGAAATTGAGCATTTACGGCTTCTTGAAGAATCATACTGGCACATTCGGTCTAGAAAGAATGAGCTTCGTGATAGAGATAAAAATACCTCTTATTTCCATCACAAAGCGAGCGCGAGGAGAGCAAAAAATTGGATAATGGGGTTAGAAGATGAGAATGGTTCATGGACTGAGGATAAAGAAATTGGAGGAGATTGTTACTGGTTATTTCAATCGGCTATTCACCACAGAAGGAATAGTGGATCTTGATAAGGCTCTAGAGGGCATTTCTTTTGGTGTTACAGAAAACATGAACAATGACCTGTGCAAGGAACCAACAGGGGAGGAAATAGAAAGGGCTATCTTCGAAATGAATCCAAATAAAGCTCCCGGAGTTGATAGTATGCATGCTCTTTTTTATCAAAAGTTTTGGCATATTATTAAAAATGATATTGTAAATTTCATTATTAATTGGTGGTACGATCACATGGACATTTCGGAAATTAGTAAAACTTGCATTGTACTTATTCCTAAATGTCATGATCCACACAAAATCTCAGAGTACAGACCAATTAGCCTCTGTAATGTTATTTACAAAATTATCTCAAATTTCCTTGCAAATCGTCTGAAGCCTGTGCTACCACATCTTATATCTCCCCAACAAAGTGCCTTTGTCCCTGGCAGACAGATTACAGACAATGCTTTGTTGGCCTTTGAAGTTTTTCATGCAATGAAGAAGAAAGGGGATAGAAGACATGGTACGGTAGCCTTGAAACTGGATATGATGAAAGCCTACGACCGAGTGGAATGGGGTTTTGTTGAGAAAGTTATGGCAAAGTTAGGTTTTCGAGATACTTGGATTCACAAAATCATGAACTGCTTATCCTGTTACTCCTTCCAATTTAAGCTGAATGGCGAGCTGATCGGGAATGTCAAACCTGAACGGGGTTTCAGACAAGGTGATCCTATCTCTCCATATTTATTTTTACTTGTTGCTGATGCTTTCTCTTGTCTGCTATCTAAAGCTGTTTCAGAAGGTGTTATTCATGGGGCCAAAATATGCAATGGTGCACCGCACATCTCTCATCTACTCTTTGCGGATGATAGTATACTGTTCACTCGGGCTAATATGGCGGAGTGTGCAAAAGTGACTCAAATCCTGCAGGTTTATGAAAGGGCGTCGGGGCAAAAAATTAACTTTCATAAATCAGAAGCTGTGTTTAGTAGGAATGTCTCCGATAGCAGAAGACAGGATATTTGTGATCTTTTGGGAGTAAAACAAGTGGATAAACACGAAAAGTACCTTGGCATCCCAACAAATAGGGAAATCAAAGAAAGTGATTTTTGCAAGCTTGAAAGACCGCATATGGAAAAAAGTGCAAGGGTGGAAGGAGAAACTACTGTCAAAAGCCGGGAAAGAAATTCTCATCAAAGTAGTGGCACAAGCTATCCCGACCTACTTAATGAGTATCTTCAATATCCCGGAGAGTCTCTTGGAGGAAATTCAAAACATAATGGCTCGTTTTTGGTGGGGCAATGGTACGGAGAAGAAAATGCATTGGAAGAAATGGGATGATCTTTGCCTTCCTAAAGCTAAGGGTGGAATGGGCTTTAGGGATCTTAAGGTGTTCAATCAAGCCTTGTTGGCAAAACAAGGGTGGAGACTTATCACTGGAAAAGACACCCTTCTCTATAAGGTCTTAAAAGCCCGATACTTCAAACACTCTGATTTTTTGGATGCCCGGAGAGGATATTGCCCTAGCTACACTTGGAGGAGCATTTGGGGGACAAAAGCTCTGCTAAAAGAAGGATTGGGGTGGAGAGTGAGAAATGGCAGCAGTATTAGTGTGTGGGAGGATCATTGGCTGATGCATAACAGAGGAAATAATACTCCTGTACCTCCACCGAATGGTCTTTATGATGATGATTTACTCGTGGCTGACCTCATTGCAGAAAACGGGAGAGAATGGAATGATGCATCCCTTGCATTGCACTTGAGAGAAGAGGACAGAGCTTCCATAAAGTCGATACCATTAATTGATAATAATGGGCCAGACACATTGTATTGGAGGTTAACACCAACTGGAAGATACTCGGTGAAGTCCGCATACTGGTTAGGCGTTCTTGGGAATCATTATGTAAACAGCACAATAGATGAAAATGTATGGCGAGGGATTTGGCGAATGAATGGTCCTCCAAAACTGAGACACTTCCTCTGGCGAGCTTGTACAAACACTCTGGCAGTAGGGGCTGAGATGCACAGGAGGCATATTCAGGAATCGAGTTTGTGTAAAAGGTGCAACTCCTCTGTAGAAACTAGCAAACATGCACTGTTCATGTGTGGAAATGCAAAGAAAATATGGGCAAAATATGTTTTCTGGGATGATATAAAAGACAGAATTGATGACAATTTCTCTACAACTTTTGCTAGATTGATGGAGGTACTATCCAATAGTGAGCTGTGCTTATTTTCGACCCTTACATGGGCTGCATGGACGAGCCGTAACAAGACCATGTTTGATAGTTCCACGCATGACCCCCAACACTTAGCCATCCAGTTCGTGACATATATGCAGGACTATCAACAATACTCTTCGAAACTTGTTGGGACTGTAGGTCAAAGATGCGTAAGAAGTAGTAACTCATGGAAGAAGCCAAGAGAAGGTGTACTAAAACTAAATGTAGATGCCGCGATATTGAATGGTGGGGAGGTGAGGCTTGGAGTAGTGGGACGAGACTGTAATGGCAGCATAAGGTTCACTGGTACGCGAAAACACAATGGTAGTTGGGAGGTGATTATAGCAGAAGCAGCAGCACTGAAATATGGGTTGGAGCTTGCAGCTCGGTTCGGCTTTAGAAATGTTTGGGTTGAAAGTGACTCCCTCGGATTGATTCAACGTCTGAAACAAGGGCAACAGGGTTTTAATTATCTCTTCCTTTTTATTGATCAAATTATTGTTTTGAGTTCTCAGTTCGATTCATTTGTTTGTAGTCATGTAAAACAGTGTGGTAATACCGTTGCTCATCTAGTGGCTACATTAGATGTGGATAATGATATGGAACGTGTATGTTTTGAGCCATTCCCGGAAGGCATCTTACGGCTTGCGGAAATGGACATTATTTAATGAAGAACTCAAAACTTCTTTTCAAAAAAATAAAAAAATAAAAATAAAAGAGTAGTTGGACTATTTCATTTCCTATAAACATTATCTTTTCTCCTACTTCGTATACTTTATACAGATTATATGAAATGGGGTTTCCACTCTTTATTAACTTATCAATTTATTAGATTTTGCTTAAAATATTTATACTACATATTACACACAAATAAGCCAAAATATTATTGTTAAAATCGTGCATCGCAAGAGTCTAACCTAGTTTACTACTAAAATAGATCATAATAAGGTCTAATTATTTCAAATGAGTTAAGTTGATAAAAGTTCAGATAGATTATGGTAAATTCGGATAATACAGAGTAGTATAAAATAAGTCTTTTTTTTTTGAAAGGCAGTATAAAATAAGTTTAGATACCTAAAAACTAGGTGAATGGAACCCACCCATATTTTCTCAGCGTAATTATGCATATCGAAATAATTGTTACCTTTTTACTCTGTATTATATTCACTCACTTGTTATAAATCAATCAATCAATAACATAATACAGACACCAAGAATGACACGTGTCACTTCTTGGTGCTGTTTTTTTCCCATCCAAAACTTTTTTTCTTTATTTTTTTATTCACTTCCTAAGAAAAAATTTCACTTCTTTACCTAGTTGTAATTCACTTTCTTAAAATAAATATTCACCAAATCATATAATTGTGATTCACTTCCTATAAAAATATTCACCTATTTTTCATATTTTTATTGCATAAAATCTAATATATATAAATAAAGTAGGCATTTTTCGAGAGCATTCGGCGCGCCACATAAGCAAAGGTATTATTTTGACCAATCAAAAGTTAGATTTGTATTTTATTTTAGAATTAATAAATTCACTCGCCACCTAAGAAAAAGTGACGAAGGAGATTTAAGAATTTTGCCACGTAATTAAAACAACGAATAGTGATTTATTAGGATTTAATTTATTTTAAAAATTAAAAATTATTTTTAAAAAATCATCTTTAGATATAGGATTTATATATCTAAGATAACTCTTGATAGTGTTTATGATAAGAAATAAAAATTATTCCTTAATAAAAAATAAATTGAAATTTGTGATGCATAGCATTATAAATTGACGCATCTTACAACACCAACAAAATTTCGTATCAATACAAACCAAATCAAGCGAATTTTGTGTCAGTTTTAGTCATCAATGGCTGAGTAACTCTTAGTTTAATTTTTAAAATCCATGTTTACATGTATATTTGTGATTATTGCTTACATTGTGTTTAATTGGAATACTTAACGATATATGTTTATGTTTTGTTTACTAAATTTTGTTTTTACACACAGATCTGATTTAATCAGAGAATTAGATTCGAGCAAAAATGATTGGAAAATCACAGTACAAGTTTCTCGCCTGATGGTCCTATTGGATGAGAAGGTATTATATCTTTATAAATTGTTTACATTTATTAAATTTTTGTATAAACCTTTGTAGTTTATATTAATTAATTTTATGATTAGAACAAATTTTTTGTGATTTAGGTAGCTTAATCAAGTCATCAAATTAACTAATTTTGATTACGTTCATACCTCAATTAGCCAACTTTGTACAATTCGTCCAAAATTAATTGAAAGAAAAGTTTACTCAATTAAACACTTTTCATTCGTTATAAATAAGAAGCAATATTGCACGCATTGTCAATGACGACAAAATAATGATTCAATTTTCCAAAATACTATTGTTCGGGCGATTAGGAACAATGAAAAAATTCCAATTCATAGATTTGATTTTGTACAATTACAATTTTTAGATCAAGTTTACAACAATTTTTCACTTCTCGATAAATATATTGATTTATTTTAAAGACTATCACGGTTAATTTTATATAATTTTTTTTTTTTCTAACATGTTTTATTTATCAAAATTTTGAACAATGAATTAATGTCTTAACACATCATACGACACAAATAAAATTTCATATTAATACAATACCCCATCAAGTGAATTTTGTGTTAGATTTAGGTCACCAATGTTCGGGTAATTTTTAAAATCTTGTGTTTAAATTTATATTTGTTATTATTAGTTACATTGTATTTATTTAGGATACTTAACAATTATTTGTTTATGTAATGACATACGATTAGATGTTGTATACTTA